ATATGATCATCTATGTGTCAACACTTTTGTTTATTTTAAACGAGTTTGTTTGATCGAATGCTTATTGCATAGCACTGACACCACCAAGTATGTGTCGACACCATATCCGTGTCACGTTTCTGGTCTTTTTGCAATTTCTTTAATGGTAAACTAACATATCTAATCCTCCATTTTTATAAAATGAACACTTTGATCCCATAACTTAAGATTCATCCATTTAGGTCCAAAAGAACCTTTCTTCTCACAGTTCAGTCTCTCAACTTTCAAAAAACATTCAATTAATCTAAAAACTCTTATTATTATGCATTTAAGTCATTTTCCACACAAAAAATAAAAATTATGTAAAATCTATTGAAAATCACATATAACCTTGTGAATAGTAATAAAATCAAGGCCAATATGATAGGTTAAGCATATAAAATGCCTCTTATCACATTAGGTCGTTATTTGAATTATAGGCTTAGTATTTCTTTAATAGGTTTTCATCTATTTAACACTTGAACCTTTAATATGAGGAATTTTCCATACAGTTTTCTCAAACAAACTTGTAATTTTGGTTTAATCCCAAATTTGATCAAAAGGAAAACAAAAACCTAATGATTTCCTCCCTTCTCTCAAAGTAATCGTCCATAATTTTCCTTCTGAAAAATTTCTTTATTCCAGACACAAAATTTCCTAAAATTTTCCCTCTGCATTCTCTGCTATAGACTTGCACTCTCCATCACCCCACTCTGCTCCCACAACCTGTCCATCAATCCCCTCCATTTTCGTTTCCTGCAACCCCACAAATCTTATTTTCTCCTTCCTTATAAGCCTTCTCACCTCTTTCTTCTTGTGTCTCTCCCCAAGTAATCAATGTCATCTTCATTGGTTATTGTATTGCTCATTCTTCCACTCCATCCCAATCTTCCTTTTGTTCTTGTCTGCATTTTGCCATTTGATCTCCTTTTCCCAACTCTAACGAGTAGACCAATATTGATATTATCCACTTTGACTCATCGAGTGTTACAATTTTAAAATGCATCAATAAAAAATGGGTGATTCTTGATAATCAGTTCCTCATTTTCCCTGCCTAAAATCATAAAATCTCTACATTTCTTCCATTTCCCTCTTGAAATTTTTACTCCTTAGTCCTGCATTGCATTAGACTATATTGTTGCTGGTGAAAGAAATGCTTAACTTCTTTTTGATTTTCCTCCACATTTCCCCCTTCTTTTTTCCCTTCACCCCTTTCAATTTTTACTTCTTGTTGCTATCCGTTGACTCCCACCACAGTTTTGCTCCTCTTCTGTTTCTTTTTTCAACGGAATTGATGGCTCCTTCCTCCTCCTCCTCCTCCTCCTGTGCCAAATCATCCCAAAAGAGGCGCTTCTCTCGACCCCTCGAGATGGCCTTCATTTCGTCCTCCTCAATCTGTTTCCTTTTTGATTTCTGCCTTTTTTTTTTGCTTTCCCCCAGTGAAAATTCATCGACACCACGTCCTCGCTTCTAATAGTAACCATTGAACCAGGCACAAAAGTGGACGCCATATTTCCATTGAGTCCTCATCTTCTCCTAGCAAGCCCATCACCACTTCTTGGCATTGGGCCCTCAGTTTCTCTGAATTTTGCCCATCCTCCCGTATCCTATACTGTAGTGTGTTTCTATTTTTGTTTCCCTGTTTACTTTCCTAATTACTATTTGTTTTTAGTGGTGAAAAACAGTGTGCATTACGGCTTGATTAAAGAATTTTTGTTTGAATATATTATTAGATCTTAGGCCAATATTGGTTATGAATGCTTAGAAATTGTACAAGAAGGAGAAAAGGGAAAGAAAAAAAAAAAGGGAGAGAAGACTTTCATATATCAACATTGACTTTGGCTAGTTCCGACTTGCAACTAGACAATTTT